ATATCACAATACTGTTTCTAGCACTATATTTTATTTTATAATCACACATAATCTTATACTCTCAGCTCTTTTCCGAGTCGCCTCCATTTGTCAGTTGTATGTCCACTCACACCTTGCTAAAGCTTATTTTCTTTAACCTATTAAAATGCTCTTTCTTAACAAATACCTTAATAAAAGAAAATTAGACTGAGTAATCATACCTTAAACATTCCTACATGAATATTGGCTACTCTGCCTCTCGTGTTTTCTTTTACTTCCTCCCTCTTTCAGCTCCCTTGAGATATGGAACAGGTTACTTCATCCTGCACCATCCTTAAAGCCTTGGATATCCCAAAGGGACATAAGGTTGCGATTTCTAGAAGCTCATACCTTCAATGGACCTATTCTTGATCGTCAGTCGCACATTCGCAACGCAACTCTCGTGAAGCGCGCCAACTGTAGTACTGATTAAAACAATCTACATTCATGTCTTATAAATTTTCAACCCAGCTATGTAATTTAATACAGTGTATATTGTATCATTTGTATCAATTTGATCTTGCCTGTAAACTGGCATGCCTCATGTAACAAACTGTTATTTGAGAATAAATTATTATTATTATTATTATTATTATAAGTGGATCCCCAATTATTCAACACAGGTCATATACGTTGGTGACATACATATCTAAATATCTCACTCAATTCTTCTTGAAAATTAGCGATAGTCGACAGACCTTAGTCTATTTCCAAATACTAAGACCATCAATATATATATGTCGAATTTTAGAATCAATAACACTAGGTAGATCGTTAAGAAAAACTTGAAGGGAATTTGTTCAGTGATGGAAGTTTTTAGTACTCCTGCCTGCATTTTAAAGTGTGTAAATCGGAATAAATTCCATAGTGGCCTAGCCCCATAAGATAATACCTTAGCCAATTCATTAAACTCCCATTATGTTGAGGTTAAGACAAAACAAGGTTATTGAATATATTTCTTACCTGTATGTGTAAGGGCATTACTACAATTTTTAAGTCAGAAGGTGATCTGCCTTCATTAAAAAGTAATTGGAGATTGTGGTGAGAGAGGCCTTATGTACATCTGAACAGTTCTTTAGTGTGAGGTATTGTAGTGGTATTGGTTCTAACCACACGATCCTCAAAGATGAATATGGCATTACTGTTTGTTACGTAGAACGAGTCAGCGTAGACAATGGTGTGACTTTCACGTAAGATCTTATAGATTAAGTAATCACATCATTACATGTCTACAACTCTGGAATTAGCTTTATTCTTTCAGTATCAAAAATGAATGTGGTATTATCATACTAGGACATGATCGTATACACAATTTCCAGTGTTTCAGGAAACTCTGGGCCTAAAGAAGCATGATGTCCATCGATACCCTTGGCGGGATTCAAAAAGGTGTGGCAAATAAAACAGTTCCGGAGAAAGCCAAGAGAGGCCGAATATACAGCAACACCAAGAATGTGAGGAGGAGCACTAGAGCCGACAAGCAGAAATACGTGGAAGGAGAAGCAATGACAGCGAAAAAGCTGTAGAATAGTAAATAATGCGTAATGTATCGGAAAAGAACGCCGAAAATCATTCTAAAACATTTCATTGAGCAGTACCGTCATTCATCCCTGTCGTGTACTATAACCTTTGTTCAAATCTCTTTTTAACCGCACATTCTGTTCTTCAGTCTTCCCAGTCATGACTTTCGTCATTTGGTTTTGGTTATTAACTTACCCGTTGTTACATGTTGCCGGACTACTGACAATAAACTTATGTTTAATTGAACTCAAGGTCAAGGCGTGGCTCTGTGTATGGCTGTTAACGTATGGCTGTCAGCTTGGACAAGTGACAGGAATCTTTGAGGATATATATTTGATCCCAACCTGTTGTGAATAGTTTCATTGATTCTCAGGTATCTTACTCTTGTTTGTTACCTATCCCTTTTGTTGTTTAGCACATCAGTTTATGCTAGAGAAACCCCTGACGGCATAGCTCAGGCTGTACCGTTTGATGAATTTTGTATTTTCGATATAAATATATATATATATATACCATCACGGAAATCAGTTAATTAACGTTTACCACTTATAAAGAGCATAGTTTGTACCGAGTAGAGAGTAATATATTCAATATAAAACATGAGTCTACATGAGGTGACCACACCTGCATGGTCGGTCCATGTCATCCTGATCAATTATTATGTTCACCATTCTGACCCCTCCATGTTGAATGCTGGATATGAGTTCACTCAGTCATCTCACGTTCAGCTTCGAGGATCGTGTGGTTAAAAAGAATGCTACTACAAACAACTACAATCATCACTGAAAACGTACAAACATTTATAAACAATATTCTTTGCAAGATACTATCCGTTGTACGGATACCATCAGCAACAGCCTACTGTGGGAGAGGACAAGCCAACTTCCGGGTGAAGAGGTAATCAAGAAAAGACGTTGGAGATGGATAAGACATAGGTTGAGGAAACCGTCAGGCTACATCACTGGGCATGTCTTTAAATGACATCCCGAAGGGAAACGGAAAAGGGGCGAAGACACAAGAACAGAGGCAGACATGAAAATAATAAGCAGCAACTGTAAACAAATGGAAAGGATTGTTTGGGACAGATTTCGATGAAGAATGCTGGTGGGCGGCCTATGTCACTCATCGAGAGGTAAAAAACGTGAGTAGATCGTCCATCAACAAACAGTTTTCTATTTTTTCTTTTTAGCACAACAACAGTAACGGTCAATCATGCGTTCCTAATCCTGTGTAATTATTCATTAAATCCAGTCGCTAAGCCGCAAGTGACAACTGTCACCCTTAGTGAATACCCTATAACTTGTCTGTTTATGTCTTAATTCTTAGTCTAGGTACTCAATCAGTTACTTTGTAGGGTAAGTGTAGTAACACTGTAATTCAGATGATCTGTTATATTATGATCAAAACGTGGCTGTATCATCTGTTTTTCATCTAATTCGATGACCCATAAATAGACCACAACACACAGCGTACGATGCACGTCAAAGCAACGAATTCAGATTGAAAATTGGCAATATTAGGTTAATGATTATCATATAATATTATTGTAACAGGTTATATGATCAAACAAAATGCCTGTATCTAAGGTAATATGAATATCACATGGGCTAACTACACGCAAGGAATCAGACGTGACAATATCCATAAAACGCCCCTTACAGCTTGTCATGCTTCTCTGTTTTTCTCTCTGGAACACTAATATTTGGCTTTCGTGAAGTAACTCGACAGACCAGTTATCGCGGTACGCGTGATAGGTCGAAACGTCTTCCACACGTAATGGACAGATCATAATGATCCACCCAACTGAGACTTTGTTAAGTTTTGTGTTCACGACAAACGATGGCAACCCCCATGACCGCTAGGTACCTCAGCAGTTTCGGGGAATAATCAGACAAGGTAAGCTAAATATGTCTCACATATGATAGAATCATTCAATTCTGTCCTCAGAACTCTTCCAGAATGGTATCTGGAAGGCGAGTGAAGAGTTATGATGATAATAACAGTTGGAAGAAAAAAACGTGCTGGATCAAAAGTAGAAGACGACCACAAATCTATCGGGTTTTTTGTGGACGGAAAGGAAACGTTTCGATTGAGGTGTATCGGGATTTGAAGACGGTACTCGATCAACCAGGTCCAGGTTGTGGAGTTCGTTTAAGATCATCAGACAAAATGATTATCACAGTTTTAAATTTTTCGGCAAGGCAATTGTGACTTCACACCGACAGAAAGGTGTAGTAGGCATCGAGTCGCGTTTGACTGTGATCACCACTACAAGAAGACTACGTGCCAGTTACTAGGTCAGATTCCTCCTTAGGCTAAATATCAGAAGGTAATTGAAGGTTGTAGTAAGATGTATTTTTTGTGATCTCGTGGTATCAAAATAATGCCGAGATCGTGCCAAAGTTTACAAGCGGGACTACTGAGCGCACGCGAGTTCGTGCAAGATCGCAGACAACGGAAGAAAGTGTGTTTTTAGTACACTTAAATCAACAGGTACAGTAAAACAATCACTGGTACAACTGGTAATAATAATAATTGTTTCCATTATAGCAATCTCGTTCTCTTCATAAAAGTAGGTCACTACAGGTTTTGCACGCGAGGGTTTTGATTTGTTACGCAGATCACCTAGAAGCTGGTCAGAATTTACTTGTGCAATCTGTGATTTTGGTGTCTCATGTATCTCTCAAAACTCATCAGCCTTGTTGACCTGCTTGCAAGTATGTGAAATTTGTCGAAATCTTTTTATCGCCAGACATAAGATATTGGTTTGAAATGTGTTTTCGTTGGTTAGTGTGATGAAGTTACCAAAAGAATTGATTTGTTAATGTGCAAAATATAGATTATACACAAAGGAAATGTGCTGGACATTGCTTAGATTACTAGTGTTAGGCGTGTTCAAGTTTCTTTTTGATCTCGTAACCCACAATTATAGTAGTTAGCAATGCCAACAATGGTCGCTATTATCCGAGATACGTATCCAGAGTAACCACGTGATGTCCGTGTGATCTGCAGACACAGACGGCATATATATCGGAGTGTTGTTATCGTAACATTGGATAAGGAAAAAATAAGTATACATGCGCAGCGGCGTACCACTTCATTATATTTGTATAATTTTTTATCACTTATTTAGTAAACAGCAAGTTCACAGCCAATAATGTCAGTTGCATAAATTATGAGAGGTAATGAAAAAAAAGCAAATAACTTTCTCCACAAGGATTATTGGAGTCCGTTGACTCACACAAGACACAAGAGCTAAGAACTGAAGTGATTTGTACTAGCTTCCCACAAACATGTGGTGTATTAGTAAAATCTTTACATTCCCTTCAGCAACTAAGACACAGATTACATATAACCATCTATTCATTGTTCCCGCCCTGGAAATCTAGTGGTTTAAAGATAAAACACGAATTGGTTGAGTAACTTTTAGAAACCAGATAGCGTAATAGTTCACGTTAGTTATTATGTTAGCACGGAAACCGGTATTTAGTTCTGTACATCTCTCCTTGAAACCTTATGAATTTCAGCGCTACCCCCATAAAACTGGCTTCAATCACTCTGATCTCGACATTAGTTATCGATGTCACTATATTAGCATGGAGCAAGTGAAGAATAGCTTAATTGGTTTGGTTGCTGGGATTAACGGTAGTTTGCCTAACCTCATTGATTTTTGTCGTAGGTGGATTTGCTTCAGTATATGTTGGACAACCATTAGATACTATTAAAGTCAAGATGCAAACGTTTCCGGAAGTTCACCCGTCAACATGGAAGTGTCTCCGAGTTACACTTGCGAAGGATGGAATCGCTCGCGGGCTCTATGCAGGAACTGTCCCGTCACTTGTTGCAAATATTGCTGAAAATGCGGTGTTATTCTGTGCTCTTCCACCTTCTGAACATCTAATAGCCGGTCTCTGTGGCGTGGATAATAGTAATCTCTCAGTACTACAGCATGCACTTGCCGGTAGTATAGCTGCTTTTTGGTCGAGTTTAACTCTTTGCCCAACCGAATTAGTCAAGTGCAAAGTTCAGTCAATGAGAGAAATGACTGAGTTAGGACATATGAAGGTTGATGTCAAAAACTTGTGAGTGTATTCATGCGTCTCTGCCCGTTATGGTTTTTATGTCACATAATTCTTCAGCTAAATAATGATAACTAGATAATAGACCAAATTCCGGTAGAAGAAAGTTATGAAATTCCATCTTAAGAAAAATGGCAAATAAATTATACTAAGTTTATCGTATGAACACAACTTCTTATTTATTATTTTACACAGGGTTGTGTTAAGTTGCCAGATAAACCTAGTGGTTGGAATTCTCCCTTTAGGTGATAAGAAGTTTTTCGATTGAGGCCCACGTATTTTGTACATGACGTAATATTCGTTTCTAAAGCAAGCTGCATAACTCAGTATTAAAGTATGTATTTGTGTATGCAGCTTCGGATATCACTTCATATGGATAAATGGTACTATCCAACCACCCATTCCTAAGTAAGATTTGATTCTGCAACTCAGTGTTTGGTAATGCACTACCAACAAGTGAATAGCCACCTTAGTCTATCAGAGGTAACAAATAATCTCTTCTAAACTAACCTAACCCTGTTAAAAAATAAGTTATTAAGAATCAGACAATTATTTAAACTCAGACTTGCCGGTTTAAGATGTCACTTTTCAGTCGCACAGACAGAAAAAATTAATAAAAACAGTAAGACGCTGGAATAAATAAGAAGAGTAGGGCTTGGAAAAGAGATGCCTGGATCTAAAAAAAAGTCGAAATTTCAACTCATTTCTACCATTGTAATAGACTTCGAACCATGAAATCTGGATTTCAGCTATTAATACCTAAAGGACCATATCCAGCGAGTCTTTACCTACCTATATTTCTTACGCCATATACATTAATTTAAGACGTGGTGACTTTTTTGGTGTCTGTTTATAACCTTCACTCTAATACTATCTCATTCAGCATCACGTGTTGTGGTAGACTGTAGTTTGAGATGTTCCCACTATGCATGAACTATCCTTTCAAGAGGTTTGGAAACCAGCTGCTAAAACTCGTCTGATTCACAGTGAAGTGAACTTATCTGAATTTTAGAAAATTATTTACATTTATGAAATCAAGACAGTCATCATAGAATTTAGCTTTCGGCCATTTCGCTGAAAATGTAAAGTCACTTTATTTACTGTAATTTAGTTATCTCTGTTGATCGTCAACAAGACGATTTCGAATGCTGATAGAGACGTGGAGGTGGTTTCCACTCCCCGGTTGCCTACACCGTAGAAGGATATTTCTTCTTGAGGGACCCGAAAAGGAACCTGAATTAGTGGTGGCATCAGCGAGTTGGGAGCGTGACGACACAACTCAAGAGACAACTGCTTGAGGTCAGTCGCGCACGGCCTTTTTTATGCGGAGTTCCCGATGTGTTAGCTCCTCACTTTACAAGACCCTACCCCCGGAGACGAAAATCCGTGGGGTACAGTGAAATGTGACAGTTATATGGTTGATCTTTTCTGACCCTTCCCTTCCATTGTGAGAATGCAGCACTGCTGTTGCATCCCTCCACAATCAGCAGTATGACTTTGTCCTCGTGCCTTAAGTTACTGTTTTTAGTCTTACCGTTCTGCAATCAACCTGCGTGGTAAGGTAAAGCGTAAAGAAATATGTATTCCAGCCAGTATAGGTGGTTCGAGTCCCCACAATAGGCGATCCTAAAAAGCAGCTACGGTCGGGCTATGTATCTTTTGGATTGACTCTTCTAAATTTCAGGCAATGTATTTTGCTTCATTGCTAACTTAATCGATACCTCGTACTGTTATATTTTGAAATACTTATCAACCTATTTTACCTTGCCAGTATTCATGAACGTAGGTTCTCTCACAACCGTTCCTTGGTCTCATATTAAATAAACCGTGGTAAACTTCTTAGTCATTTTTATTTCCGTGAACCAGATTTAATTTATCATTTTTATGTAATTAACTGATAAGGATATTTAGTGCCTTGACCAAATGCTAGTTTCCAGATCAGGTGGTTCTTCCTACTTAGAATGATAGTTATGGTATCATCCAAATATTTAGTGGATACAACTAGCTATTGGAAAACAAATATTCGTACTATTTCTCACTAATAATGGCCATATTTAATATAGTAAAAGCGTTGGTAACTGTTTTCGTTATCCTATCATAGATCAGATCTATTTAATTGATTCAATATATGACAAACACTATAGATAATAACAATCCACACTATTTTTTTCCAAACTTATTCCTCTACCAGAGTTTTACAACTGCAAGAGTAAGTAATCAAGTTGATTGATTTTGTTGGTTCTCGTCACTAAACTAACGCGTTGTGCCCATTTATCATTTATACTACCATAATTTCGTTGTAGAGGTCCATGGGCAGTAACAAAGTCAATATACAAAGAAAAAGGTTTCAAAGGATTTACTTGTGGTTTAGGTGCTACATTTGCCAGGGAAATGCCTGGTTATTTCTTCTTTTTTGGTGGGTACGAAGCATGTAGAACATTGATGACTCCTACTAATGGACGTAAAGACGATTTGGGTCCTATTAAAACTGTTATCGCTGGCGGAATAGGTGGAGTTTCACTGTGGGTGGCGATATTTCCATTCGATGTTGTTAAGTCTCGCATGCAAATCGGACATCATACTGTCACGTCATCCTCAATCGCTCACGGAAACAAAGTCAGTAAACAAAAAGCATGTTTTCTGTCCTGTTAGACATCAAGAGAAACGAAGGTAACTGCCTATTGTTTTATTATCCCATATTTTTTGCATACAGTAATCATGTAGATAGAGGTGTTATTTTCTACAACTAGATGCCTGCTCACATTACATTAATAACTTGGCAAAACGAGGTATCGCTTATATTTATAATTACTCATTTTATTCACTTATTCTAAAAACCAAAGTACTAGCCTTTAAAATGAGAAATAGCTTGTTCTGGGCAGTAGTCCAAGCAATTAAAACTCTTGGGTGTTATTTCACCCCTCTCACACTTATTTCAGTCAAGGTATACGTAGTTGTTTCCAATCTTTTATTTCTGTGAATGATTTGCATTAATTACTTCAGGCTGTTTATCTAAAAATACTAAATTATCGTTTTCCGGTGTAATAAAATTAGTCCTAATGCATACCAATTCGTTCTTATCTTACAGGAATTCGTTCACTTTATCGTGGTCTTGGCCCAACATTATTGAGAACATTCCCAGCAACAGGAGCTTTATTTCTAGCCGTAGAATGGACTCGTAAATGCGGACATTGTTTACTAGACTGAGAGGATAAACGAGATGAGTGACCTCATTACTTGTCTTTCAACTATTGTCATGTGTTTTGTTGTTTCTTGTTTTCGTCAGTTTCTGATAATTTCTATCTGTAAACTCTAATGCTTATCCAATTAGCTTCTCTAGCCTTTCGCGGATTGAACCACTACAGATAATTCTATTTTTTTATGCCAAAACATTTAGCGTATTTCTGAAAATTTGATTTACCTGTTTTTTACTCAATAAACGAAGTTACATCAGCAAACGTTTTTTAAAAATACAAAATATACATGTATTATGACGTACATTATGATGCTTTACTACTGACTTACTGATATAAGTTGTGCTTTAAGTGTGTCTTAGATTTACAGCTTTGATTTCAGTAATTATAACTATTTTTGAATTATTTTTGCTAATGAACCTATTTACAATAGAATAAACTAGGAAATCTGTCGTTTCACAGTAATAGCGTGGAATGAAGTAGTTGAGTTCGTTGACCACTCCACTTGTCGTGGAAGCCTTGACAGTACTGCTGAGTTAATGTATAGCGAAATCTCAACAGGAATTTCGGAAAATTTCTTCGTTTTTGACGAATTAAGCCATCAATGACGTGGGCGAAATGTTCGTCTACTAATCAAAGGACGAGTATACGCCATAGTATTGTATTGTGGAACGTAGCTTTTAAAAGTAGAGGATATTCGTAGGTTACTAGCATTTGATCACAGGTGTATTCGAAGCACTTCTTCTTATATTAGGACTACTGAGCGAGCTATTGTTAAAGTCAGTTGCAGGGTACTAGAGGAAAAATGCTTAGTCAGTTGACACGTTTATGGGACTTCAAAGACCAAGCAGGTTAGAATGCTATATATATATATATATATATATATATATATATATATATATATATATATATATATATAGTATTCCCGACCACCACCTACCTTCACACTATATATTGATAGATGTAGCTGTAAGTTGAAAGAAAGCTAGAGGAAGCCAAACTAAAATGTGGAATCAGTCCATGAAATCATCGACCAATGGTCTGGACCCTGTCGATGGGTGCATAATGCATCTTCGGGGTCATCTAAATTGACGTGACCATTGGTTTGAGACCATGCGTGATATGACTCAGAATAGGTCACATTAGTGAAGATGAATTCACTCTCTTCCCTTTTCTTTTGAGTTTCAGAATTCATAACTTGTATTCTGTGAATCAGCCTTTTCTTTAATCATTTTGCGTATGTCTAACCTTTACAACTACTGGTTCTACTACGGTTTCCATCTAGGCAATTTAATCCCACCGTACTATTGTGGTTTGACAAATTGGGCTGATTCCAGGTCCTGGGTTTCTCATGTCTAACTGACTGACTTATTTTCCCAGGTGTGTTTCTGTTCTGTTCTCTTATATGTAGACTAAGTCAAGCCTTCTGACCTCCTTCCAATTACATGTACCTACTTAGCGTTATAACTCCGCCTGGAGTCCCTCCGGGGGCTACTGCCGGTCCCAAGCCTGGATAAAGGAGGAGGGTTGGGCATGGGATTGGCGTCCCCATCCCGTAGAAAACTAACTCGCTAAAACACGCTAACCAGAAAAAATTATTCAAACCTTTTAAACTCTGCCCTGGGAGTCAGAAGGTCTTCATTTAGAAGAACTATGATGCCTCATGATGAAAGCCGAATCCCTTCGGAAGTTACGAGGCCGATGCCCCTTCTGACAACCAGAGCGACCATTTATTTAGGTACATGGAATGTTCGTACAATGTGGGACACCGGAAGAGCCTTCCAAATTGCTGCAGAAATGAGAAGATACAACCTAGAGGTACTTGGGATCAGTGAAACACATTGGACGCAAGTTGAACAACAACGACTAGCTTCAAGGGAGCTTCTATTATACTCCGGCCATGAAAAAGAAAATGCCCCACATACACAAGGAGTTGCATTGATGCTGTCCAAACAAGCACAAAATGCACTTATAGGATGGGAATCTCATGGACCAAGGATCATCAAAGCCTCGTTCAAAACAAAGAAAGAGGGTATTTCAATGAACATCATCCAATGCTATGCGCCTACCAACGACTACAATGAAGACGCTAAAGATCAATTCTACAATAGGCTGCAGTCAATCGTCGAGAAGTGCCCAACAAAGGACCTGACCATTCTGATGGGAGATTTCAACGCCAAGGTTGGAACGGACAACACTGGATATGAAGACATCATGGGACGACACGGACTGGGAGAAAGGAACGAAAATGGTGAGAGATTTGCAAATCTATGTGCCTTCAATAAACTGGTCATAGGCGGCACCATATTCCCACATAAACGCATACACAAAACCACATGGACTTCACCGGATCACACCACGCAAAACCAAATCGACCATATTTGCATCAACAAAACGTTCAGGAGGACTATAGAGGACGTGAGAACCAAGAGAGGAGCTGATATAGCATCAGATCATCACTTGCTGGTCGCCAAGATGAAATTGAAACTCAAGAAGCACTGGACAACGGGGCGGACAATATCACAAAAGTTCAATACGGCCTTTCTTCAGGATACTAACAAACTCAACAAATTCAAGATAGTCCTCAGCAACAAGTTCCAGGCCTTTCATGATCTACTCAATGGAGAAGGAACTACTGTGGAGAGCAACTGGAAGGGGATCAAAGAGGCAATCACTTCAACATGTCATGAGGTCCTGGGTCACAAGAAGCACCATCACAAGGAATGGATCACTGTTGATACACTGGATAAGATTCAAGAAAGAAGGAACAAGAAGGCAGCAATCAATACCAGTCGAACAAGAGCAGAAAAAGCCAAGGCACAAGCTGAATACACAGAAGTAAACAAACAAGTGAAGAGGAGCATCAGAACCGACAAACGTAAATATGTGGAAGATTTAGCAACGACGGCGGAAAAGGCTGCAAGAGAAGGAAACATGAGACAACTGTATGACACGACAAAGAAACTCTCTGGAAATCGCCGCAAACCAGAACGACCAGTGAAAAGCAAGGAAGGCGAGGTAATCACCAACATTGAAGAGCAACAAAACAGGTGGGTAGAACACTTCAAAGAACTCTTGAATCGACCAGCTCCACTGAACCCACCCAACATCGAAGCAGCACCCACGGACCTCCCAATCAATGTTGGCCCACCAACAATTGAAGAAATCAGCATGGCCATCAGACAAATCAAGAGTGGCAAAGCAGCAGGACCGGACAACATCCAGCAGAGGCACTAAAAGCAGACGTAGCGGCAACTGCAAGGATACTCCACATTCTCTTCAATAAGATTTGGGATGAGGAACAAGTACCAAAGACTGGAAAGAAGGACTTCTGATCAAAATACCGAAGAAAGGCGATCTCAGCAACTGTGATAACTACAGGGGCATCACTCTTCTCTCAATACCGGGAAAAGTCTTCAACAGGGTATTGTTAAACAGGATGAAGGACTGCGTAGACGCCCAACTTCGTGACCAACAGGCAGGATTCCGTAAGGATAGATCGTGTACAGACCAAATCGCAACTCTACGGATCATTGTGGAACAATCAATTGAATGGAATTCATCACTCTACATCAACTTCATTGACTACGAAAAGGCATTTGATAGCGTGGACAGAACAACACTATGGAAACTTCTTCGACACTACGGCGTGCCTCAGAAGATAGTCAATATCATACAGAATTCATATGATGGATTACACTGCAAAATCGTGCATGGAGGACAGTTGACAAAGTCGTTCGAAGTGAAGACCGGTGTTAGGCAAGGTTGCTTACTCTCACCCTTTCTCTTTCTCCTGGTGATCGACTGGATCATGAAGACGTCAACGTCTGAAGGGAAGCACGGGATACAATGGACATCTAGGATGCAGTTGGACGATCTAGACTTCGCAGATGATCTGGCCCTTCTATCCCAAACGCAACAACAGATGCAGGAGAAGACGAACAGTGTGGCAGCAGCCTCAGCAGCAGTAGGTCTCAATATACACAAAGGGAAAAGCAGGATTCTCCGATACAACACAGAATGCACCAATCCAATCACAATTGACGGAGAAGATTTGGAAGATGTAAAAACCTTTACATATTTGGGCAGCATCATTGATGAACAGGGTGGATCTGATGCAGATGTGAAGGCGCGGATCGGCAAAGCAAGAGCAGCATATTTACAACTGAGGAACATCTGGAACTCAAAGCAACTGTCAACCAACACCAAGGTCAGGATTTTCAATACAAATGTCAAGACAGTTCTACTGTATGGGGCAGAAACCTGGAGAACTACGAAAGCCATCATCCAGAAAATACAGGTGTTTATTAACAGTTGTCTACGCAAAATACTTCAGATCCATTGGCCGGACACTATTAGCAACAACGTACTGTGGGAGAGAACAAACCAGATCCCAGCGGAGGAAGAAATCAGGAAGAAGCGCTGGAAGTGGATAGGACACACATTGAGGAAAGCACCCAACTGCGTCACAAGACAAGCCCTCACATGGAATCCTGAAGGCCAAAGGAAAAGAGGAAGACCAAAGAACACATTACGCTGAGAAATGGAGACAGACATGAAAAGAATGAACAACAATTGGATAGAACTAGAGAGGAAGGCCCATGACAGATTGGGTTGGAGAATTCTGGATGGTGGCCTATGTTCCATTGGGAGTAACTGGCGTAAGTAAGTAAGTAAGTAACTTAGCGTTATGGCTAAGTTATCTCACCACGCATCTGGTATATATGTCCACGTGTATATTATATTTTGATGAATCACGCAGTTTTAATCAACATGATGGATGAATAAACACTATGTGAGTGAGCGATTTGTTTCACATAGCTATAGACTGACCAAATAAGAGGGTAAGAAAGCGTTAATAAAAGACTTACAAGTTTACTTACTGCATTTATGGTCAAGTTGATTGTTGTAGGTGGGATGTATTTTTAGATATGCTGACAAAGACTAATCTAAATAACATAAACCTTGAAAGTTTCAAAAGGCTTACCAGTTTTAATTATTATTGTTTTCCAA